CTGTGTTTATTACAGCTATTTGTTTTATTATTATGTATCATGGGTTTACTATCCCAGCTAAATCACCAGCTGTTTGAGGTCATGGCTGTATCTTACTTGCCCTTAGATCCCCAGATCATGAGCATCTGGTACCTACCGTGAACACAGTGAATGTTCAGTAAATATTTGTTAAACTGAATTGGAAAGGGGAGTTAATTTGAATTATAGCTACATTTGTTACAAGATGTAAAGCAAATGCTTTTACCAATGGTTCACTGCATTGGACACCTCTTTGGAAAGGTTTTCTCATTTTGCCAAGCATATGTCCCAAGATTAAGTTCCTCAAGTAGAGTATCTGATATATAGTCGATACTCAATAAATATAGTGTATTTTTTTATCCAAGTGAAGGGAACAATGTGAACAGTAAACAGATAAGTATAAATTCAGTTTAATATGTGGTCTGATTTGGATGAAACAGAGCAGGTAGGGATGGTAAGCTTAAAAAAAAAAAGATACAATAAAGAGTTAGAGTTCTAGAATTGAACTCTCTGATTTCCTGCCCCAGTTTCTTCATTTGCTAACTGGGTTAAAACTTGAGCACATTACTTAACCTCTCTGTCCCAGATTCTTCATCTATAAAAGCAGGCAGGGGTAATAACAGGATCCACTTATAAAGCAGTTATGAGAATTAAGTAAGAAAAATCCATGAAGGACACTCAGCACGGTGCATGGCACATTCCAAGTACTCAGATTATAGTTGCTTCTATCATCATCACTATCGTCATTATAAAAATCATTTCATAATTCTTAGGAATCTGTTCAAAGGATAGGACACTATTTTCCACAGAGCTATAAAATCTTATACTTGTACTGTATTAAGCCTGTCAAACCCAAGATTTATTTCTGCTATTAATTTATGCATAGCAGCATTGAGTTCATGCCCTACATCCAAGCAATACTTACTGAGTGTCTACTTTGTGTCAAACTCAGGTGAACAAACTTACTTGATTCAAAGGCTGGGAATGAAAGAAACAGAAAGAGCCAGGAAAAAGTGAAGAGTTCAGTGATAGGCAAAAACACAAGCAGAAAGAGGAGGTAGATCCAATCCAAAGGTCCATCAGAAATCAAAATATCAGGAAAGGTTTGCCAAAAGTTAGAAGGGAAAGTAAGCCAGAGCAGCTGATGCATACGACCCCAAAGTGAGCAGCACAGTGGATTCAATCACTGCTCAGTAACAAGTAATTTGCTGGAGGAAGAGGAGAGGTTTTATAAGAGAGAAGAGAGGTATGGGCAAAGAACAAGGATTTCATGTATTATATATCATATCTCTTTTCACTCACCCATCTTCTCATTTGAAAGCTAAAAATAATGAATAGCTGTCCATGTTTTAGAATGTTAACTTCTTGGGAGAGAGTTCTGGTCAGGATGGCGGAATAGACGGTTCCCAGTGTCACTCTCTCCCATAAATCAACCAATTTACAACTATAAAAATGTAACATCAGCCAAGCTGGGGCTGCTGGAACTCAGGAGAAGAGGAGGAGAGACCTACGGAGTTCATGAAGGCATGAGAAACCACAATGAGAGAAAGAAAAAACTGCTCTGAGTGTTTTGGGCCGTGGCCACTTTAAAGTGGAACTGCAGAGCACATGGAGCAGCAGCCGGCAGAAGCCGCAGCTGTGTCCTTCAAACGGAGTTGCATGGAGGCCAGAGGGGAGAAGAGGGCCTTGGTGGCCCCCAGGACAGCAAGACCATTAATAGGGTTCCCGTTGACCCACGCAAGAGTGAGGAGCCAGAACAACTGAAAAAAGGGAGCCATTCAGAGGCCAGTGAGTCATCGCAAGGGACCAGCACAGGGCCGGTCTCATGGCAATTGTTTGGAGCACGGGCGGTGGGGGAGATGGGCCCACCAGGGGAATACTGGGACACAGCAAGGACAGCTGACCTGCCCCCCAATCAGCACAGGATCACTCAGAGGAGACTGGTTGGGAATGCAGAATTGCATGGGGTGCAGTTTGATGAGAAAACTCAGGCCCAGATCAGAGTTTCTACACAACCCAAATCCACTGGGTCTCTAGAGAGCCAGAAGTACCTATAAGGTCAACTATTAAACCCTGAGCTGCACAAACCCTTCCCTAGGTAAACAGCAGCAAAGCAGCAATTTAGCTCAACCACACAGCTCAAGTACTGGTTTCCACAGGAAGGTCCCCCGTTTCAGAAGTAAGCAAAGGACAAAAAATTAGTTCTGGCCCAGGCACACCACCAGCACTTTGGGGGCCTGCCTGGGAACTGGAGGCTTGGAGCCAGGCACCGGACCCCACTCCCACATCCAGGCACACTGTGCCAGCACCTCAGGGCCTACCCGGGGACCCAAGACATGGAGAAGGGGACTGGACCCCCCTCCCACAACCAGGCACACCATGCCAGTGCATTGGGACCCATCTGGGGGCCCAAGGCATGGATCCGAGAACCAGACACAGCCCACAACCAGGCACATCGCCATCACCAAGGAGCATGCCAAAAACATCACCTCCATGTGGGTGGCCCACCACAGCCACCACAATAACCATGGCTGCCGCAAAAGCAGCTAGATACCACAGCCACCACATAGATGGTCCTCCAACCACTGGAGTGCATTGACACAAGGAGAGTCACCAGCAGAGAAAAAGAAAAGAAGAGTATGTCTTTCTCCCCAAAGCCCATTTCAGAGCGTCAGAAGAAGCATCTGCTCTATGATAATATTGGGGGACCTGATCACACCTCTCAGCATTGGACAGATCATCTAGGCAACAAATCAACAGAGTAACCATTATTCTTTCAGAAGAGAGAAGAAATCTAGGGTAATTGGGGGAGGGGGAGAGGGGTGGGGAGAGATTGGACAAGGGGCATAAAGAATAATTCGATTTGTAACAATATACATGCTAGTAATATTGATTTGATCAACATATCTCAATGTTGAACCCCCAAAATATGTATAATCAATCTTGATTCAATAAATAAAATAAATAAATAAATAATCATTAACAGCTGGGGCATTCTTTGAAAGTCAACTAGTCCGAAGTAGAGTCTGTTCCACTGAATAGGTTTCTAAGGCTAACTTTAACTCGCTTGCACACTGTAACAATACAACCTCCCCAAAATTCTTCTCAAAAATCCTATATAAGATGATCAGTTTGTTTTCTCAATAAGCCTATGTCTAACCTCTCCTTTACTTAATTAGTAAATTCTGCTTTTATAGTTAAAATAATAATAATAAATAAAATAAAATGTTAACTTCTTGGATTCTCACAATAACACCGAAGGCCTGATTGGAAGGTATCTTATATATCCAATGCCTACGTCCCCTGCCTTTTTCCCCAAAGCATAGATTTGTGCTGTTTAAAGCAAATTCATGGAGATTTCAAGCTCATGTTATGAGCTGCCCATGAACAAAGGCATGAAGGATGACGGAGAACGCCCGGGGCTCCCGGGAGCCAGGGCACACAGTGGCTACAGTCATGTGCAGTGCCAAGCAAGATGGCTAAGACTGCTCCACACTTGGCATAAAATCCCAAAAGAATACTAAAACCTTGGCAACCTTCAAAAGTGTCTCTTGCTTCCTGCATGGGGTGGGGGAAACAGCTTGTTTAGTGGGAAAAACCATAGCCCAGGGCGAATCCGCTGGCTAGATTCATCAAAGAGATGGCTGAGACAGAACAGATTTTTCCTTTCCGTACAGGAATGACTCATGAGCTTGTTTATTCAAAAAGTTTCATCCTCCATTGAAGAGAGGTGGATGATGGGGAAGCTGGATGATAACAATAATTCAAGTTTGTGTTGCTCAGCCCAGTCCCTCCTGCCCTCACCTCTCCCATGCACAGTTATACAGACACACCACCAATGTCCAGAAGGCAGCCAGTATGTTTTGTTTTATTCTGCCTTTATTCTGCCATAGTAAATAAAGAAAACAGCACAACTACTCTCCTTTATTTTGCTCTTAGTCTTTTTAGAAAAGGAATATGCTTTCTTGGTTAAGAATAAGGACAGCTGGGGTTCAAATCCTAACTGTGCCCAATAGCAAGCTGTGTGATCCTGAAGAAGTTACTTAACTGCCCTGGGCCTCTGTTTCTTTGCCTGTAAAAATGGGAATAATATTATTTACTTTGTAAGATTAGTGTGAGAATTATTTAGCACATAGAGAATCATTCCTGACATGTTGTTAGTTCTCAGTAAATGATTGACATTTTCATCATGATTACTTCACTGATGGCCAAATCTTCTTCCATTACAGATCTTCTTTTATTCACTATTACCTTAAGAGGTTCAAATTAAACCATAAATGGAATAAGGTCTTTTGGGAGAAATATAATTGTTCTATGAAAAACATTTTCTTCTCAGGCTAGGGAGATTTTCTGGGACTTTTAAGACTCTCTTTTAAGGAAGAAGAATGGGTGTATATTTCTGTATAGCTGAGGAGTCATCTTTCTTCTATGTGTGGGTACTGGGAGACAGGTGTAGATAGATGGATGGTTAGATTAGATAGACAGATACATAAGTAGATGTTTTTCTATTGTATTAATCTATTTCTTCCCCAGAAATTTAAAAAATTATGGCAATAGATGAGCTGGTCATTTTTCTTCAGTTCTTTATGCAAAAACTTATAAAGGCAAAGATAAGGAGCATTTGGGAATTGTTCTCCTACATACCCTCTGTGTCTTTCAAACTTAAAGATATTAGAAGCTGTAAATCCTTCCTCTGACGCAGGAAGAAAATTATCCAGTTAGTGTATTATTCTAACTCCTTTTACCACGATGATTACTAACTCCACCTTTAATGAAGATAGACTGGGCTGTTTTTCTAGATTTAACTGGACTATAAAATTCCTCTTCTACATTAATCCTAACAAAGAGGGCTGTAAACATAAGTGCCTATTTATTTTCATACTCTTTACTGTGTTGTACAGTAGAAATAACACATAATTCTCCAGTAGGATTTGGCCTGCGTCATTCTGCCTGTGGTTAATATCATGAGTTGCTTTACTCACTGGGTAAAATCAGGACGTCATCCCCAGGGCCTGGAATGGTATGGTTGTGTCCTCCCCAGCCCTCTTCAATGCCTTGCCATGTTTCAGGGAGGGACCATTTTAAAGCTGATTCAGGTGCAAAGGTAGAGGCTAGAAAAACAACAGAGAATAGCAACGGTAACTATAAAAATATGATTCATTATGATAACTTCCAAATTCTATCCTTATTTTATGATGCGCTGGTATTTTCACCCCCCAAAGTAGCTGCCTTTTAATATTTTATGAACTTTATAAAATACACTGATCAACTAGAAAGTAAGTATTCAACCCTTAGAGTCCCTCCACTTTTGAAAAACATATAATCCCCTCATGTTATTAAAACATTTGTGTTTTGCCTTATTATAAATATCATATATGCCTATCAAGGAATATTTTGAAAATGCTAATAAAGAAGAAAAGAAAAAGAATAATTGCTCATAACCTCACCATCTACTGATAATTGTTATCAACCTTTTGTTTCCTTCCAAAATTTCTCAGCATTTTTACATAATGGAAAGAATATATCCAGTTCTTTCTTTTGCATCCACTTCTTATTCTGTTTCAGCTTAGCCTTTTTTCCTATGCACTTTCTAATGTCATTAAAACTCCTTATAAACATAATTTTAGTGGCTACATGATATTCCACCATATGAAAAATCCATAATTTACCTAATCTCTAATGTCTGGCATTTAGGTTCTTTCCACTTAATAATTCTGATTATCCTAAAATAGATTCCTCAATGGAATAACTGAGTTAAAGGATATAATCTTCTCACAGCTCTTAATACGTATTTAAGGCAGGGTAAAAATCTTGACACTTCTCAGGTCAGTAATTTACACACAGATCATATGTTCCAACTAACCTCTAATGATCAAATGACATTCTCTTTTCAACCATTCCACTAGCATCCCCATCAGAGAATTGAAATGTAAATCTACTCATTTCCAATGAGAATTGTCGAGGATCACATCATGCACAACACTGTGCTGAACTGTATCCACTTGTTCTTTTCTGGGATGTGATCACTGGTACAGAGTTGGAAGGGTAGAGAGATTGTTTCAGAAGGGTAAGATGAAAAAGCCTCCTCTTTTGATGGGGGGAGGGGATCTCATCACTCGCAAGCAAAAATAATGAGCACCTGCTCTATTAGAACTGCCCTAAAATGGCAGAGATACAAAAAAGAATAAAATGCCAACTTTGCCCCAAGGAGGTAATAGTGTCACATTGATAAATACTGGGAGGATAAAAACATGCACAGGCATTGAATGTAGTTTTCGTTAATGGTACCTGACCAAGGGAGGAAGTGAGAAGTTGCTGGGAGAAGCTTCCTGCAGGAGGCAGTATCTGAGCTGAATTTTAAAGGCTTAGAAGTTATACAAATAAAGGGGAGGTTGTGCTGAAATATGGCAAGGGGGGTTGTGCTGCAAACAGAGGGCTGAACATAAACAAAGGCAAGAAGTGGGAGACCTAGTGGAGGAACTGTAATTAGTTTAGTGTTGCTGAACCACAGAGCTAAAAGGAGGCAGCTGATGAGGCTGGGGAAGTAATCAGAGGCCAGAGTGTGAAGTGTAACAAAGATGGAGAGTCAAGGCTTTCCAGCCCGTAAAGATAAAAGTTGATGCATTCAGTTTGGGCCATACGGCATTTGGAGTAGCTTTGAAGACTCTGGGTGGAGATATACAGCAAGCAGCAGTTGAATGTGAATCTGAAGAATGGAGAAAGCTCTGAGCTGGAGAGATGGATTTTGGCATTATCCACTTAGATACAACCGTATCTGAGACTCTGAGGTTGATTGAAATAGCTCCAGAGGATTATAAGGTGAAAAGAGAAAATGACTCTGATATCAGAACCATGGCGAACACTCAGGGTTTTTTTTGTTTGTTTGTTTGTTTGTCTGTTTGTTTGTTTGTTTTGCCAGAACCCAACTCCCCAGTATATTGGTCTAATTAGAGCCCCAGAAAAACTTAAAAGTATATAGATTGTGGTCAAGTAGAAATTGTAGGCAATTCCATTAACACAAAATATACCACACACAATGGGAATAAGACATCTTAGAATAAGCCTCACTCAGGAGGCTTTATAAATATGTTATAGACACCAACACTATAATACCTTTCTAAGTGTTCTAGTTTGCCTTCTTCCCAATGTTATACCCTAAATATTCAGGTTGGGATAGGGTAGGGGCATTTGCTGGGGGTGGCCACTAACTCACACCACAAAGGTCAGATAGGATGTTTCTGATGCCTCATTTCCAGTGATTATACATATCTGCGTGGTACGGAGTTGAATATCAATACTTGTGTGCAATATGTGATGCTCAAATCAGGATAAATTGTATATTCAACATTACATAATGTATCATTTTTCATGGTCCAGTGATATTTCAAATAGTCAATGACTAGGTTCTTTAAAACCCCATGCCAAGCTTCAAAAACCCTTCGTTACTTTAATTTTATATCGCAGATGGTGGAAACAAACACTCTTCACTTTTGTCACCTTCACTTTTGTTTATAGGAGGGCTAAAGCTGTCTTTAATTGAACAATCAAGAACTTCAGGTAGCTATTCTAACAAAAGAATGTTACTTTGCACAAATTCTATCATTCTGTGCCATCCTGCCTTAACATAAGAACACCTAAGGGAGAAGGAAATGTGTAAGTCTCCTTCCAGAGTTACTAGATCCTGATAAAGTTAATATCAGGCTTGTATATAACTATTATGGACATTGAAAATTGGGGAGCAAAAAAGAAGCCTACAGGAGTTAAAGAAGAAGTAGTCAGGGAATACAGGGAGAATCAGGAAAGAAAAATGTCTTATAAACCTGAGAAATAGAGCATTCCAGAGGACAGATGTATCTTGTTAACAGCAGAGTTTTCGTAAGAGAGGGAATTAGAAGTGACTGTCGAATTTGGCAATCAGAGCATGGGTGATCAAGGTGAAAGAGGTCCCAGTGGAGTGGCCGAGGTGGAAACCAAACTACAGTAGATTGCGGAATGCACTGGAGGTGAGGAAGGAAAGACTTTGGGTCAGATCATCCAAAAAGCTCATTGAGGAATGCACAGCTTTAAGATTTGAGAACCTCAGCCTTTATCTCTAGATAAATGAGACTTATTTTGATACTGGAGTCCATGAATTTTGGTCAGGACCTCAAACTCCTTCCCTGAACAAATCTGTCACTAAACAGCAGCTAAAATTTAAGGTGGTCTGCAGCTTTCTTATTTTTTCTGCATCAAAAGGCTAGTGTTTTTAAAGTTTGTAGGAGAGACATCAGCTAAAGGAGGATTCAGTATCCAGAGGCACTGAACAGAAAGAACTGGTAAAGAAAGAAAGGTTAACTACACAAGACAAGGAATTGTTTGCAGATAGGATAAGGTCTGGAAGATGCTGAAAGGGCCTGGTTCTCAGAGACCAAAGGAAAGGACATGAACTTGGTCTATGGGAGAAGGGTTGACAAAGTTAGAAAAAGAAAACCTGATGATCTGAATGTTCTCACATGACTGTGGACGATATTTGCAATGAGCCCTGCTAAAAAGACAACATGGTTGAGGTGAAGGCTCTTTAGGAACATTTTTATCTTCCCCCAGGTGAAGAAGGAATTGCTTCACTCATTCCCCCTTCCCCATCATTTATAAAGCATTGTGGACACTGAGAAGAAAACAATAAAGCAATAAAGCCATAATGTTAGAGGAGTATGAAAGACCTGCATTGGGGTCTTCAGAAACCTGGATACCTTCTTGACCCAAATTAGCATAAATCCTTACCTTGAACCCCCTAAGCACCCATACAGCAATTTATACCACACTGCTTCTCCCTGACATATGCACCCTTGTTTCTGCTGCCTCTGAAGTTTGCTGTCCACAATGTCCCACGATAACCAGCACAATCTTCTACACAGAATAGGCCCTCAATTAATTGAGTGAACTGAGAGACTCTCTGCAGCAGAATACCAAAATATTTCATCTGTGTTCCATAGTCATTTTGCATCTTTGAATGGATTAACATATAGATAGAACTCCATTAATCATTTCATTCTTGTTTTTGGCAAAAAAAATTTGTAATGCTATAATTTTACTGTTTTCCATAGAGCTCTGCATTAAACAAAATACTCTCCTATATTTAAATTCTGGCATTAGCACATATACCTCACACCATGGGAATGAGGCAATGTCTTGGAACCATATTACTTTAAATTTCTTCCTGGTGAATGATGATGTACTAATTTTGTAACTCTTTGTGTTTGGGAATAGTTTTCTGTCCCAAACTATATAAGGAAGGAAAACTGGCTATAGATTTTGATCTAACACATGTATTAACAAATGCCCAAAAAGGTAATTTAAACACATCAGAAGCTATGTGGCATAGCAGAAAGAACACCAGACTGAGTTGGAACACTTGAGTTCTTATCTAGGCCCAACTACTGACTACCAATATGACTTAAGTAAACTGTTTAATCTCTAGGCTTTCACGTCCCCATTTGTAAAATGGGGCAATTAAATAGGATGGTACTTCCTTGTTAAAATTCTATAACTGTATGAAGCATCAGCTTTCTATTTACTCAGCATGTTGTAATTGATAAGCCAAGTGAAGAATTTCCCAGTTAAAATGACCCCTTTTGAAATGTCCTGAATGCTGGCCACCCACTCTGTACTTCCAACAAGTCCTTAATAAGGAAATCTTTATAATAAGTGCTGAGTGACATGCCACCCTGACTACAGGAATGGCCACCCATAGATGACCCAGAATCTACTGAGGGGGGTGGCATGAGAACTCCCCCAACAGGTATGTCCTTTACACAATAGGGACTGACCCAACCAATTCTCTTCATGGGGAATCTGAACACAGGACTTTCAGAAGGAGAGAATTTTAGAGTACTTTCCTCTGGTAACAACTATTTTAAAGAAAATTTATTTATTGATTATTTAGTTAGTCATTTTATTGACATCCCCAAAAGACTATAGACTCCATGAAGTCAAAGACCATTCCATCTCATTCATCATTCTATCCCTCCATATCTGGCATGACAGGCACTTAATAAACAAGACATTTCGAGCCAACTAAAAGAAAAGAGAGATTTAAGGACAGGAGACATAAAGAACAATGTGCTATGGCAGCTCAGAAAATATGAAAACAATCTTGAATCACATTCTTCATAGTCCAATAAACATGGAGTAGCAACCATCAGTACTTCTAGTTTGTAGTTGTAGTCCAGTACCTTTACCTCATTTATTTATTAATTTAATTGGAGGAATTAGATCATTTTCTGATCAGCATGGGCACTGCTCTGACATAACATACAAATGCCACTGAAAATCAAAGGAAATCTTAGCCTTTGAAAAGATTCATCCCTCCTGCAAATGTATAGTTAAATTGACTCACGATAAACAAAAACAAACAATGAAAAACACTAGAAAGTGCTTGTAAGACATTTAGTCTTTGAGAATTTGGCTTTTTTGAGTTAGAAAAATTTTACAGAACCATCTGATTTTTGGAGAGGGTTTGTTTACCCTTATTTCCTGAAATTACCAGGAACAATTAAAGTTTAGAGATACCCTGAATTTTTCTTTCCATCTAGGGGGAGAGCCTAATGGCCCATCTGCAGATCTGGAGTCCTGTGTGCACATATGGCCCATAATTTATGAAATGTGCTTATTTACATTTTTCAATTCTTACTTTCCACTGTTTTGAAAAATAAATGCACCCTTATATCTTCCTTTGACATGCAGACACATATTTTAGTTAGGGGGTGACACAATAGACAGTTGCCAGGCATAAAAGCATTAGGACTGATGCCTGCCTGTTTATAAACAACATGATGAGAAATTTGTAGAAACACCGGAGGACATTCTGCTGCACTAGACACTTCTGCTTACTGCGTTAAGTAGAATTTCTCTCACCTGAAATAGTTGGGGGCACACCTTCCTTCACCTGGAGAATAACTTGAACTTGGCCTTTACCTGAAACTGAATATAAAAAAAAAAATCACAACTTGGATGGGATGCAAAGATCATCTTAATACTAAAGATATTCGCATGTGAGAAAAATTGCTTTATGCCAATTCTCTCCAACCTAAATTTTCAAAATAAAAAGTAAAGTCCTTATTAATTAATCTAATAATTGATTTCCAACATTTGATTTTGATTTTGATTGCTTTGATCAAACTTCATTGCAGAGAGGTCTCCAAGAGAATTGGCACATAAATAATTAGGGAAAAAAAATCTTTCATATGGTTTTTAGAGGCCAATGGTGTCTAGCAGCGAATACCTCATATCCTATTTCCTCTCCATCACTTTCTAGGCTAAGGTTTTAGAATTCATGCATTTTTCACCAATAGAATTCAGATCACCCATGAAATGTATTTGTTTTACCTTTATCCAAACAAATTGTCCTTTTAATGAAGGCTTCCCCCTCCTTCTCCTCCCATCTTCCAAACCAACTGAGCACATTTAAAAGGCCTGGGGTTCATTAATTTTAAGTGTTCAATAAATTAGTGGAAATAATCAAAAGGCCTGATTCTTTCTGATAACGACAATTTGATGTCAGTATAAACCAGTAGATTAAGCTGGGAACATATGCTCCTTTGCCAAGAGAGGCTGCTATAATTAAATAGTGAATGCATCTACAAGGTGCTCTCATGCCTGATTAATTAGTAATCAGGTGCGCAAACTCCACTTTTCGGTCACACCTTGTCTCTTATTGGTTAATTACCTTTCTGCCTTATCATTTGCCACGTGAGTCAGCCTCCCACCACCAGCAGGTCCAATGCTGCTGAAAGTTGCAGCCTCAGGGTCTTGGCCAAACTCACGCTCATCATTTTGGTTTCCCTGGGACCCTAAACCCTTTCCTTTATCACAGATGGAAAAGAACAAAGCTTCAGAACATTACAAAGAAAATAATCCCCAAAGAGATCAATGATTAGACCTCTCAAATTAATCTATTCTTATTTTGGTGATTTTTCTCATTTAAAAATTTTTTCAATTATAAAAGCATGAGTCTGTGGCTTTCTCCTTACACTGTCATATCTTGAGACCCAGCACAATGGCGCCATGCTCTTGACATGTTCTGCTTTTATCACCCCTTCGCTTAAATTATTCCTTTATCCTATTGCTTATTTCACCCACCTTTCTAACTTAAATAATAATAGACAATAAAGCCACCAGTCAAGCATCTCATTTTTTTCCTATAAGATTTAACTCATCCACTTCTGTTCACATTGATCTGTGCATTCTCTATGGTTGAAAGCCATTTCTAAATCCATACTGTGATATTTATTCCAAACTTGTTCTCAATTTCATAAATATTTATTGAGCATCAACTGTTAATTTAGGATTGCACCAATAATTTTGTCTCCAAGTTTTTGAGGGAGTGACTTTTCTCATGTAGCTTATGACACTAGACATGGATGGAAATGTGGAAACCTTATTTTCATGGAGCAACTTAGAAATCCTGAGTTTACTGTGCTCTAGTCTGGGTACCTAGGACTTAACGAACAATTTAACTACATTCTACCCACTCTCCTAGAGGCAGAAAATAACCTCCTTCAAGGAGACATAAGGCAAAATAATTTTTAAAAATTAGGCTTCACTGGAAAAAAAAAGGAAAAGAAATTATGGACAAGATGGCATTGGAAAACATGCCAGAGGCTATAACAATAGAATGCCCTTCTACAAGACAAAGGGATTAAATATTGTCATAGAATCAAACTCGAAAAGTAAATTAGAAAAAATTCTGGGAAACATTTGGAAAGGGAAACCAATTCATTTAAAGATGTTATAAAAATCATTCTTGTTTGATGGTCTCCATGCCATGTAGATTTCAGCACATCTGTGCCCTCTTCCTTGAGACAGAGTCACTGAGGTAAGGAAAGTAATAACATTACACATCAAGAGTCTTTTTCAAAGCCACGCCAGTCATTTTACAATGATTCATTTGACCTAAAATAAATGTAATTTATAACTGTAAGAGGAATGGTTGGGGAGAAGGGAAGAATGAAAACATTATTTTTTCCTACTAGATATATGGGGAAATCTGAAGTAGAGGGCAAACAACCATTGTATCCAAAACCCCTTGAGAGAAAAAATACACTGTAAGTATTCATGCATTGTAGTTATCACTGTGATGAAGATCCCAAAGACCAAAGAGACTAACATTTGACATATCTGACTCCCATTAGAGGCTGGTCCACTTGTCCTTTTATTCACTTAATCCCTTACCCAGGCACTGTTCTTGGTAAACCAAGGCTTCCTGGCTCAGCGTTCTGTCCTGTCTGTGGCTCTTTTCATTACACTGCACTGAAGGCTCCTGACTGAGTGGCCACTGATTTTCTCCAGTCTCTACACTTGCACAAATGGTCCCCATCTCCAGAGAAAACTATTCCCAAAACAGATATTGGAAAGCTAAAAAGTATACTGACAATCTATTGCTCACTTTATTAAAGTTGAGTGTGTGAATGCCGCTCAGAGAAGAGAAATAGTCTCAGTATCAGAGGAGAGAGAGAAAAGTTACCAAAAGTAGAAAAAATTAGAAGAGTTTGGTTTCTTATACTACCACCTCTCCGTGTGCCCCTGGGGACTGGCTCTGAGCACTTGAGTACGAGTCAGAGAGCTATTTCTTCCCAAACACCACTTCTAGGTCATGAGAGTGATGGGAAGAAGGTGTGTGCTAGAGCCCAACTGCTTGGATTTGAATCTTGGCTCTCCCCAGTTCCTAGACATGGATAACTGACAAGTTATTCACCATTTCTGAACCTCACTCACCTCGTCTGAAAATGGGAATAATCATACCACCTACCTCATAGGGATATTGGGAAGAAAAGATGGGATAATCCATGGAACATGCTTAGCAGGGTGTCTGGCACATAATGAACAATAAATGTTAGCTATCATCAATACTGTCATTATGGCACACTCATTATTCTAGGCGCCAGTTAGCAAAGCTCAGGAAATAAGCTTTCACTCTTCTTACTCTTTTTACAGCTGCACCTAATCAGGATGAGCTGTAGTATGACAAAACTGTAAGCAACTTAACCAGATCTGCTAGTTTGCTGAGTGTTTTGACTCTATAAAAGACTGTAAATGTGAAGTGTCACTTCCAATTGGAATAAATACAAAGAGGGATGAAAATCATTTAAGAATTAAGGTATTGACTTGGGAAGAGTTTAAAAGCCTTACACAAGCTGTGATATTGTACATATGTTTTCTCAGTGCTTATGATTTCTGATTTTGTATTTGTAATATGAGCACGGTTAATTTTCCTTGTTTATAAATGGAACTCCATTGTAGTTGATCCTTCCCAGACTGTAAAAAGAAAAAAAGGCTTTGGGTCAATTATTGCCATGTTGCTCTGATGAGTGCTACATGATCTAAGCTTGCTATAAACACAGACATCCAGGAGGAAGAGAGAAATGTGCTAAGAAGATGGCTCCTGTTAAGAGGAAAGAAAGACACTCAACTAGATGTGATACTAATGCCTACCATGATCATGTGTTGTACATGATAAATTTTGTCCTCACTAGGGTACTAGAAAGAGAAAAATTAATGAACACTCTCTCCATGCAGGTCTAGGTCTCTCAAGATTTTGGACGGAGAAATTTTGGATGGAAAACTATCTATTTAAAAAGAAAAAAAACACAGGGCATCTTAGCAGACCATAGACTCCTTCCCTATTCACTCTTCCATTCATATGCCCATTCTCACTTTGACATCTCAGTTTATGCACATATGAGTATTAGAACCTCTCATTCAGTCCACATTTATCTAGCATGAATCAGCCACTACCTACACAATGAGAGAACATAAAACAGCAACTACAATTGGTGTCTGCAAATTTCATCCTAAACCCCTAAATCATGGCTTCTCTATCTCTGTCTGCCCTGTCCAGAGTCCAACTTCCTGAGCTAGCTGGTAGATTTTGTCTTTCTCAATTTTCTCGTTAGCTTGACCTGTCTGCTACCTCCTCTTCTTCTCCTCAATCTGCCTCAAACACTTACATATTCCTGCTCTCTTTCTCCTGTCCCATTCAGCGAACTAGACCTCACTCCCCCAAAGTTGACCTTTTCAACTTAGCTGTAAATCTTGCTTGTCAATTGGTCCCTACGCAGCTAAACCTTGATTCACAGGACCACACTCCTGTCTGATTTCAGCCTCACAGAGACACCCTTGCAAATCACCTTGGTCCTCATAACACAGGATCTTTTAAAGACCTTCACGGAAATATATGAAAGTGCCATGATCACCTTTGAGTCTTCTATTATCCCTAATACATTCATTCATGGAAGGATGTAATTTGTTTTAAATGTAAGAATAAAAGAACTTGATCAAGACACAAGACACCAACAGACATGTCTGCATTAACCACAGTCCTGAGAGTTAGCTCAATTAAACCCTCTTAACTAACTCACAGAACAGTAACAATTGTTATTCTGACTCAGAACGATGTTTACCACACTAGCATGGAGGTGTGTGTGATTTCCTAGGGCCTGCTGCAGAGCTACAGAACCAGAACCTCCAGGGAGGGACCTGGGAACAAGCATTCTAGCTGTTTGCCCATAAGGCAAGTGTACAAAACACTAATTTAAGGAATTATACAACTTCTCCCATACTATACTCTTAAAAATGTGGTTTGTTCTCAAGAGCAGGTGTTCTTAGCAAGCGAAGAAAGAAACCCAGATGGAAAGACCCTTGTCACAATTCTTACTTTTCATCAATTATACCAAAAATTTGCAGAACATATTATATTCCCAAAATATAAAATGTGCAGTGATGATTTTAGTGGCATAACAAGTTTTATTTTAGTGGCTATCATTTTTTGTATTTTAGAAAAAACAACTAGCCCATTAAACCCATGATTATAGATGCTGCTTAAGAAGAGGTTAGGTTTTAAAAATAAGACAGTGTAGGAAATGATTTTAGAAAAATATTAAGTAAATAATATTACAGGAGGCATAGGAATGTGATAAAATTAT